ATCTTTCTCCCGCGGAGCAGCTGGTAGTTTCGAACCGCTGACCTTAAGGTTCGCAGCCCGATTCGTAACCACTACGCTACCAGAGCTCCTTTTTAGCCACTGAAAACCCTAAGGAGCCCAGTTTGACACACGTGTGTGTGCCAAGAGTTGGAATTGGGTTGACAGCAACTGATGTTAGGTTTTGTATTTTAAAGATGAGGAAACTGCAGAGGTTAAGTCATAGCTATGTAAGCAGACATTGCCAATGCCTTTGCTTGTAACATCACCCATAGATGTGGAGAAAAGTTTTGTAAACTCGGACTGCTTCCCATCACAAGACAATGTTTTATATTCTACTTTGGTGAGTAGTGTTTGGGATTTTAAAAGCTCATGAGTGGCCACTAAGGCACAACTATTGGTCTATTCATATGCAAAGAAAGAAGAGCGAAAAGAATTGAAGATGCTTAGAATTGAGTAATCCAATGGACTAATGGAACATACGAACATCAGTTTCCACAACTCTGAACTAGATGAAGCCCAGCTACCATAACCAACTGCTCTGAAAGGGGTTGCATTAGAAGGTCCTGGAGAAAATGTGGAACAAAACTCAACATTATTAAAAACAAAAGACAAAGCAGACTTACTGGCCAAAAAGAAACTAGGTGAACCCAAGATCTCCCTTCAGGTCTGGAAAGGAACTCGCTCCTGTGGCTCATTTTTCAACCAAGCAGTAGGCAGGTATACAGGGGAACAACAACGCTAGTGAGGTATGCACACCGTGGAATGGTCTATCATTTCAAATCAAATGGGTAACATTTACTTAAGGACAAAGTTGAGAAGGGATGGGAAGGAGGGTGGATGGAAACAGGAACCACAAGGGGAATACATGAGTAGGCAGGTGGTCTGCCTGGTGACCACATTGATTACCGATAAGGGGGAGAGGGGAAAAAAACAACAATGAAGTTGAGAGCTAAGTCTGACCACAATCAATAGACCCCTTTGAACCGGGTGGAGACCTGGATAGCCAGCAGTTAGACAAGACCCGGGGACTCCTGGGCCCAGAGGCAGTGATATGGCCACAGAGGACTGACTAGAGCAGAGAGTGAATCATCCAGCTGATATGAAGTTGAGGGGAGATGCACAAGAACACCCATGCTTGCAGATAGTACCCACTTGACCTGGCTTTGATGGCTGGATGATCAGAACTTGACTAGAAGAAGAAAGAAGAGGGGGAAACAAACAGAAAAAAGAGTAACCTGCTACACTTTGATTAACTTTACCTATACTTATGGATGTAATAGCTCAAAAAAGGGAACAAATCTTTACAGCGAGGATCATTCCCACCCCCTCGGTACACAGGGTTGACAGGTATGGGCAACTTAGACATTGGCTACCCAAAATGGGGGGTGGGGGGTGGGGGGCTATAAAGGCAAGAAGTGACTGGCTTACAAGCTTTCAAGAGGGACCTTAGTTCTAGACGGGGTGGGGGAAGGTAGAATCTCCACTGAATGATTTTCAATCTGTTGGGACTGGGCTGGTGAAAGGAAATGGGGTTAAGACTCTTGTGGTACAATAGTGAATACTTGCCATCAGGACTGACTGTGAGGGTAGGAAATATAGAGGTAGACGTTTTTTGACAAAAGGAAGGGAGACATTGACTTTGCAGCCCAGGAGTGGAGGTCCCTGGGACCACCAAATGAGAAGAGCAGACAGCGGGACCCTACCCAGAAAGGCAGAGACACCAGGGATGGAGACAGAGACGATGACGTGGAGAGATGGAGTGGCTGGGGACATGGGACTCAGGGAGGGAGAGGGGCTGTGTGCTGATGGCCAGGGGGAGGGCCTGTGGAGTGTACCCATTGGTTATTTGATGATGCATGAGGGGACTGTAATCATTGCAATGAAAACGAAATATGATAGGATGAATGTAAAACTGATATTCTTCCATGTAAACCTCACAATAAAAACATAAAAAACAAAGTGGGATAGGTGTTGCTGTGTGGTGGTGGTGGTAGTGGTCGTTATGTGCCATAGAGTCAGTTCTGATTCATAGCAACCCTGCATAGAGTTTCCAAGGCTATAAATCTTCCTGGGAGCAGAAAGCCTCATCTTTCTCCCATGGAATGGCTGATAGTTTTGAACTGCTGACAGTCAGTTGAGTAGCCCGATGCTACCAGCGCTCCTTTATGGAGGGGATTGCAATCATTGAATTGAAACAAAGTGTATGAATTGTTTAATGTAAAACTGATGAGCTTGTCTGGAAACCTTCACTCAATTCACAATAAAAAGTTAAAAAGCCAAGATGTCACTTTGATGACTAAAGCGCACCCCTGACTCAAGACGTGGTAATTTCAATCACCTCATGTGCACGTGAAAGACGGTGAAAAAGGAAGACCCAAAGAGAATGGGTTCATTTGAATTGCAGTGTTGGCAAAGAATATTGAGTATACCATGAACTGTCACATGAATGAACAAATACATCTTGGAGAACGTCCAATCAAAATGCTCCTTAGAAGGAAGGATAGTAAGACTTTCTCTCACTTACTTGGGGACATACCATTGCTGTTGTTAGGTGCCATTGAGTCGGCTCTGACTCCTAGTGACTATGTGCAACAGAACAAAAAAAAAACGCCACATTTTGTGCCATCCTGTTCTGTTCAAGCCCATTGTTGTAGCCACTGTGTTAATCCATTTTGTTAAGGGTCTTCCTCTTTTCTGCTGATCCTCTACTTTACCACACATAATGGCCTTCTCCAGAGACTGATCCTTTCTGATAACACATCCAAAATAGGTGAGATGAAATCTCACCATTCTTGCTTCTAAAGAGCACTGTGGCTGTACTTTCTTCAAGACAGATGTGTTTACTCTTCTGACCGTCCATATTATTTTCAATATCCTTTGCCAGTGTCATCACTGAAATGCATCAACTCTTTGTTGATCTTCCTTATTTCATCGTTCAGCTTTCACAGGCCATTGAAAATATCATGAATTGACAAAGTGGCAGCAGCAAAAGGCTCAAGCATAGCAACCAACCATTGTGAGCTTGGTGCAGGACCAGGCAGTGTTTCATTGTGTTGTACACAAGGCCACCATGGGTCGGTGCTGACTTGATAGCACCTAACAACAACAACACTGCACACTTAATATACTGCACACAGTATAGTGTAAACATAACTTTTCTAGGCATTGGGAAAACAAAAAATTTGTGTTACTCATTTTTGTGTGATATGCTCTTCATTGCAGGAACTTACCCCATAATATCTCTCAGATAAAACTGTACACAACATATTTTGTACCTCAGTTTCCTCACCTGTGTGTGACAGACATGATAATAATCTATTTGATAGAATTGTTGAAATAACTGGAAAAAACAATGGGGGAAAGTGTTGTATGATTGCAAGGTATTGTAATTACTGCTGGAGGAAAGGATTTTATCGTTTTTGAGAGCGTCAGACTTCCATCTTGGATGGTTTTACATTGAAGGTCATGCTTTTCAATCTACTAAGGAGCTCTGGTAGTGTAGTCGTTACAAATCGGGCTGTGAACCACAAGGTCAGCAGTTCCGTGGGAGAAAGATGAGGCTATCTGCTCCCGTAAAGATTTACAGCCTTGGAAACCCTGTTCAGGGTTGTTATGGGTCGGAACCAACTCGACAGCACTTAACAACAACAACTAAGCTCCTCCAGAGGGTAAGCACTGGACTGTGGACCACAAGGTGAGTTGTTTGAGCCCACCAGTCACTCTGCAGAAGAAAGATGAGGTTTCCTGTTCTCCCAAAGATCTGAAGCCTCAGAAACTCCATATAGAGTTGCTATGAGTTGGAACTGATTCGAG